TGCAGGGAAAGAAGAGGGTGGCAGGGGACAATAAGCAGTCTGTCCCAGAGCTGGACACAGGCATGGGTGAACCGGGTGGCTGCCTAGGGCCGGGACATAGGATTGCCAACCCTCCCGGATTGGGCAGGAGTCTACTGGAATCGGCATTGATCTCCCGGTGACTATTGAAAGCAATCCAGGAGATTGATATTGTGAACAGGTTGAACAGTACAATTAATAACATTACATCATGCTGGAAAAAAACATCTCCTGGAATAGCTTCAGTCAGAGTTGGCAATCCAACCCAGACAGAAAGGGGGCCTGAAAATGGTTTTTGTCCCCTATTCATTGTCTGATTATTATTAAAAGTATCTCTGGTGAAGGGGGGCCCAGTACTAAAAGTTCACCCAGGGCTGCCAGGACCTTTAATACAGTACTGGTCTGTCCTCAGTGTCTGCAGGACTGTAGATGGATGGAAGGGGAGAGAAATGGGCATGGTTCCTTAAACTGTTCTAAAAGACTAGGGAGGAAGGGGACTAGGTGCTGTTCTTTTCATCATCCCCAAGACCTGGGTCTGACGCTTTCAGAACTGGCTTCACCCTCAAAATTGTTGCTTTTACTTCCCCAGAGCTCACATGGTAGAGGCACAGAGGTCTTGTGATCTCCACTCTGGCCTGGATCCAAAGGAATGATGGCCCAGGGCAGGGATCCCTACTGCCAGCCCAGGCCAGCCCAGCCCAGCCCAGCCCAGCCCTTGGTGCTGCTGATGGGAGAGTTGCTCTTGCAGTGCCCAGAGCAGAACTGGTTTTACCTCCCCAGCAGCCCAGGAGCTTGGACTGGGAATGCCCAGATCCAACCGCTCTGCTGTTTGTAGGAGGAAGATGGGAGCGTGTGGCAGGAAGCAGGGGACACCTATGAATTCAATGTCACCACTAAAATACTTGTCTTGCTTTCTTTCCATGTAGTCAGAATCTGTTGGATTAATTCCCTATTCCAGTTACCCCCCGCCCCCCATCCCATCCCATCCCATCCCCCACAGTGTGAGTGGGAGGAGGCGGGTGGGCAGAGAAAGGACCCTGCCTGGCATTGCTGAAAAGCTTTGCTGCTTGCAGCGTGGATTACTAGACTGTGCATGCAGCTCCAAACCCGACTGCAGCTCCCTGCCTCTTACGTGCAGGACAGGGCTACTCTCACCCGCGCTTTCCCAGCGAGGGGAAAAATCCCTGCTCTGTGCAAGCCACTGCAATTCCCTCTCCCCCCTTCGGGACGTGATGCTGACAAGCCCCTCCGTTTCCAAGAAGCCGAGAGGAATACTGAGGCTGTGAGCCCGCTATCCTGGAGCCCTGCTGCAGCAAGATTACAATTGCCTTTAAAAAAAAAATGAAGATGCTTGAACGACTCCTGCCAAGAGTACAGAGCAAATCTCAGTGGCAATGGCATTGCTAAAACTTGATCATGGGGGATTTTAAGCGATAAAGAGCTGCTGGGCTTGTATTTACTGCAGTGGGAAGAAGTTGCAGGATGAAATCAAGGGATTAAGAGGTCTATTTTCCACTTCGTTGTTTGCAGAGGAATCTACTGAAATGACTTGGAGGATCTTAAGACTGGAACTATGTGGAGGGAGAATGCAGTAAGTATTTCCCTTTCTGGCTAGCTCTAATGTGCTGTTAGTAGCTGCAAATGGGCTCTGAATGGCATGCATACATTTATGGAAATGTTGCAGTCTCTCTCTCTCTCTCTCAATCCTGGTTTTTAGTTTCTAGTTTCTAGTCATGAAGCTTATAGCTAATGCTGCTTTTTATTTGCCAAACGTGCCACCCTTCTACACTGAGCTATGGGGACTTTAGGAAGTATCAGTCATTTTCTTGTTTTTCTTCTGGAGCTGAGAAATCAAAGCAAACACCGCTTTTCCTGGAGTAATTGCTTCGTCTGTATCTCGCCCAGTCTGGTTACCGTAAATGAAGACCTGGGCTGCTCCTCTACGAGATCAGAAAAGAGCTATTTCCCTTACTGATAGAGCTGTTTTCTAGATTATGCCTGTTTTGAACCTGTCACGAAAACTCGTGCCCTTGATCATCTGAATTAGTTTTGCTCCCAGCTATTCATTCCCGGTCGGATGCCTCATCCCCTTCTAGCTCAAAGCCATGCATTGCCATGGGAAGCAACCACAGTGTTACTAGCACAGTATTCCCCCC